CCAAAGTGAAACTCTTTTTCCTTTGCTCTATGTTTAATGTGATGGCTCTCCATTCCTCCGGTTTGGAGGGTCTTGTACAATGAGGAGTTTAGATAATTGGCTGAGAAGAATGATCCTGTGTTTCTTCTCTGGGTGTGAGAGTCATTGACGGTGTGTAAGACTTCTGAAATGGGGTACCTAGCTTTGGGGCCTCTCTCATTGCTTTGTAAAGTTGCATAAGGATTCTGACTCCTATCAAAACTTGGAAAACTCTCACAAACACTGAAAGGCAAGTCTAATGTTTTTGTCAGCAGTTTCTGTCCTGGGTGCTCAATTCCGAAATCATTTAGCAAGCCTGAAAAATGTTTTTTATCTTCATTGGTAGAAGACTGTTTGGAAGGGCTGCCCCCACAAATTTCTGAAGGATTTTTGCTCTTGTCTTCCCCTGATTTAGGTAAATATTTTGTAAATTTTGCTTTGGAAAATTTTTTTGCTGCAGAAAGCATATGCCCATTCTCAGCCATAAACACAACCCTTTTCGGTTTAGTAGGATTCTGTGTCATTTGGGGGGTAATTTTAATTTGCTTCTTCATATCTTCACTTGTCTGCTCATTGGTTCTCATTTCTAAGTCAGCACTATGTAGTCTAGCCTTTATAAGGTTAGTGTTTCTTCTTTTACTTTGACTTTTTTTATGTGTCTCTTCACCATCAGCTTTTGACAGTTCTTTCTGCAGCTCCTTTGACTTTGAAGCTTGGAACAAAACTGCCTTGGAATGAGTAATGTCTGAATTAAATGGAAGAATGGCTCTTACCTTCTTACAGTAAGGTAAATGAGACTTTAACCGTTTAAATTGTTTCTTACAGTAGGGACACAGCTCCTTTTGGGGTAAGATGTCTGCCATTTTCCTGCTAAGAAATATAAATGTGACATATTATTATTATTATTATTATTATGATAGAGAAAATAAACTTCCTTTTCATCTGTTCAGTTAGGTGCCCATTCATACTCATCGTCAAGGAAATGAGCTGGGATTTAATGATTCCATTTCAAATTTTTTGTTTTAAAAATAAACTCAAACCTCTGTCCCTAACCTCAGTGAGAAATTTTATATTTTCTTCTAAGGTGTTACAGGAATCAACACTTACAGAAGAGAATTGGAATTTCCTTGTCAATCCTGAGTTCTACCTTCAGTAAAATACTAAATGCTTTAGGGAGAAGAGATGACAACAACCTTAAATTAATGAATGAATAGATGGATAAGGAAGGACAAGGAAAAGACATTTAAAACACAAGCTAAATATGGGATTTATCATCAAGCACTGAAGCACACCAGTAGATACCAGGTGAACATTAAGGCTTTGAGTTATTAAATGTTTTATTTAAAATATTGAATGCTAACATAACCAACTAAACTTTCATAGTAACTATTCCTATTTATATTAATGCACATAAAGACTTTTAATAAAGATCTTCATTTCATCATTCAAAGTGGAAAGAAGAAGTGTGCTGTAGGGATTATAAGGCAGCAAGGCATAAAGTACTGGAATGGCAATCAGGAGACCTGGATTACACTATCTGATGAACAGCCAGTTTTGTGGTGCCGCACAAGTTGCTTAGCTACAATAGGCTTTAATTCCCTCATCTATATATAATATGAAAAGATTGAACTAAATCTCTGAGGTCTCTGTTAACTATAACATTGATTCAGGCATCCAAGGATTTGCAGATACTAATCTTTTCACATCAGTGGCACTCTCTCCCTCAACTCCCCAGTTAGACATGAGACACTCCAAATTTCAGATGCAAATATCTTTTTCCTATTATTCCAGTCATTTTTTTTCTCCAGGCAAAAACACATATCTAATCTATGTAACGTATCACAGCTGTAATTATTTATGACACAAAAGCAAGGATGAATGTGCCAAAGCTAGAAAATAGACAACCGGAGCAAGCAACTTACACGAGAAACAGAATGAAACTGGAGAGACCTATCAATCCATTTATCAAAGTAATCCTATAACCCCTTCATGGGTGAAGTCAGGTAAAACAAAAATATCTTTACTGCCAAGACAAATGAGGTGGGAAAGGGGGCTTGGGAATAGCTTTTTGGTTAAAAGCTTCTTCCTTTTGGGGAGAAAGAAAAAAAAAGTTCATTTTCCCAAGTGTAGGTTTACTCACAGTTGCTTAAAAACTCAGTAATTCTCTATTGAAAAGCCCTACCATAAAGAGTGCTTGGTAGTTAGCAGCTTTAATAATAACAGTAATAATAATGATGGCTAGCATTTTATATTGCACTTTAAATTTTGCAAAATGCTTTGAAACTATTATCTATTCCATTTTATCCTCACAACGATCCAGGGAGGTAGGTGCTATTGTTATACCCATTTTACAGATGAGGAAACTGAGATAAAGTTTAAGTGATTTACCCAGAGTCACACCACTAACAAGTGTCTGAGGCAAAATTGGAACTCGGCTCCTCCTCAATCCAGGTACTGAACACTATCCACCACTTCCTCACTCTATCCTCCCTAAAATATTGCCACCTAAGGCCACAGCCAACTTTGTATTATCCTCCACAACCTCCTTACCAAATGTATCATCATCCACACCAGTAACTACGTCCCTGAAGCAACTTCCTGCCCTTTCTGATCAGTGACTAATTCCCTGGTCAGTTATTTTTGGAAACCCCAAACATGTTTCACTTCACTACCCTCTCTAATTCTATCTGAATTAGATGATCAAATTAACTCTCCCAATGTTCTTAGAGTAGCTCAATCTCTTCCCCTTTGGGTCCACTCGCCATTCCTGGAATTTATCAAAGTCACAACTGCTGGTCACAACTGCTCTACGTGTGTGGTCATCTGCCTTAAGAATGTAAGCTTCTAGTGTCCTTGTGATGGGGTTGGGATCTGGGCCCCAGAAAGCAAAAACCCTGGACTTTCCCACATGGTCAAATCTGGCATTTGCCTGAGGCTATAATCCCATCAACTGGCCTTTCACTGTGCCTACACCCAATCTCCCCTCTGTTGTCTTACCTCCCTGTGGCCCTGGGCCATTTTCCACCCTCAATCCTAGCTAGGCTCCATTCTCTCTTGGTCACGTGGTCCAGGTCTCTGGATTTCTATTACCTTATAGACTACTTGGCCACCCCTGGATCCCTCCCATAGTCTTTCTGTGTATAAGGTCCATCTTGTCTCCCTTAAGATGCTTAGATTCTTAAAATCTAGCCACTGCTGGGATTCTTATAATCTAACCACTGCTTACCCATGTTCAGACTCCTTAAGAGTCTGCCTAATATGATGGATGTTCTAATAAACCTTGTCTTTGGCTGAACAAGGCCTGGATCGAATTCTTTCAGGCAGGACCCACATGTTGTGATTTTGGGGTCCCAGCACCCCTGAACCCCTAAACCGCATCACTTGCTTTTGCATCTCCATCCCTAGATTTTAGCACAGTGCATGTCCCATAGTAGAGGTTTAAGATGCTAATTTTCATTCATGTGCTGCCAAGTTTAAACCACTGGGTTTCTTCTCTCCTTCCCCAATGTTCTTCTTGATCACCTTTTCCTAAATTGTTGGTCTGTTCTCAGGAAATTAAAACTAATTTTCACTATGGCCGAGGAAATCATAATTAGGAAGATAAATCTGCAATACAGAGGTTAAATATACTTATTCCAACTAAATAAAAATGATTTTGAATTATCGGCCTTCACTATCACCAACCAACAAGCATTTATTATTAAGCACTTACTATGTACTAGGTACTGTGCCAGGCACAAACTATCCAACAGTATATACTCTAAAGGTATTTCATTCTATTGTGAAGGCTACCTATTTCATGGATAGCATGCTGCCAGCATGTCCATTATCAGGGAGAAATTCTTATATTTTCCTGTTTGTTTGCCTTCCCTTCCAGACTTACAAATTCCCTTAACCCCCATTTCCTTCCTCTCCTCACCACGTGGTTCTTGAACTTCTTGCTGCTCCACGGAATCTAGCGTCCCTCTTTTCTTTTCCCTCCCCCAGGCTCCACAGATCTTTTATCTATTCGAAGGAAGGAAACGAGGGGAGTACAAGCAACAGGTGTGATGGGGAGAACCTAGGGATTCGAGTACTGGCTCTGCGCTAACTAGCTGTGTTACATTGAGCAAATCACAATACCTCTCTGGGCCTCGATTTTCCCAAAAGCACAACGAGTTCCTTCCTGTTCCAAAGCCTAAGACCCTAAGGAGCCTTCTCGGGCCTGGACTCTTTTTCGGGGGTCCCTGTGCTGCAGATTCATGGCTTCTATGTATCCACTGAACGGGACGCCTCATCAGCGGCGGGGGCAGGTTTTTCCCAGAGCCTGGACCGGTTCCCTAACACGGGCTTTAAACTCCAAAGAAGGCGAGGATTAAGATTCCGGGGGAGCCTGGAGATCGAGTCAGCTCCCCCGTCAGTCCCCATCTCGGAGCATTGCATCCACTAGCCACTGTCCCTTTTGGGATACCCCCCCACAACTCAGGTTGTCACTTTGAGAGCTCGCCACCTCCCCTCTGGGAGTTTGGGAAACCCTCAACCACGCCCTCCTCCGGGAAACTCCATTTGCTACCTCCAGCTGCTCCAAAGAGGACTACAAAAAAGGCCACCTCCCTCGCCGTCTGTCTCTTCAACTGCCCGATGGTTGTGAGCTTTCCTTTTCCAAACCCCACCCCAAATTTAACTCCAATATTTTGTATCCTTATGGACTTCTTGTCTATTTGTAACTTGGGGATGTGATTTGTGACTGGAAATCTCAGGATGAGAACAGGCGAAAGTCGCGGACACCTACACACGAGGACCCTCCCTTACCCCGCTTCCCCCACTTTTCCTGAAAGGTGAATATAGAATTTCTCAGCTCGCCACACCCCCTCTTCCGGTGGGTGGGATTGCGGAGCCTCTCGGGTCGGACCAATTGCGCAAGCGCGAGTGGGCGGGTCTACAGAGGCCGTGGTATGGGGGGTGGGGGCATCGGGGAGACGCCGGAAGTCGTGGTGGTACGGGTCTGGTGGAGGGGTCCTCCACACCGACGGCGTAGAGGAAGGCAGTAGTGAGGGGTAGGACCGGAGGGGGAGGGCGTGGGGGCGGCGGCCGCCGCTACCGCCGCCTGAACCGAAGACCTCCCCACCGATTTCCCCGCCTGGCGACGTGCCGTCGCAGCTCTCCATCAGCTGCCATGAGCGAACGCCTCCGCCCCAGGTGAGAAAAGGGGATCCCTCCACCCCCTTCCCCGGAGAGGCCGAAGCCGCGGGAGGCAGGCGGGCGGACGGGCGGGAGCAGTGGAGCGGGGAGCCGGGCGGGATTGTCCCTGCGGGGTCTCCGTCCGTCCGTCCGTCCATCCTGGCGCCGGGCAGCTGGGCTCGGGAGCAGCGCGGGAGGCGTAAAGATTTGATCGTTCGCCCGATGGGGACTATTTGGGAGCCTTGCGATACCCCATTCCCTCCCCTCCTCCCCTGGGTAGGAATTCAGGTGAGCTGCGGCAGGTTAGGCCCCTGGCTTCTTTAGGGAGGACTAAATCTGACCCTGTGGTTCGATAGCGATGGATATATTTAGTTCTGTTGCTTAGGGGAGTATAGGGTTACCTCTTGTTTCCTTGATGTCAGAACGAGAAGTTGTGCTTTATATTTATACTGCAATGGGAAAAGACTTTGAGCGAGACCTAAGGAAGGACTTCGATAATGAAGTTGATCTAATGTGGTAGAAAGACAGATAACGAAGGGAGGTGGTGGAGTATTTTCCTGGGACAGCTTCAAGAAGAGAGAATCAGCTGTCTTGGGGTGAGTAGCATTTGGAATACACTGCGCCTGTGTCTAGCCTCAGTGCTTGGCTACGCTGGGTTTTTTGTTCTTCGGTTTGTGATTAAGGTAAACGGACTCAAGGAGCAAGTTGGATTTTTTTTCTTTGCCTTTTTTCTGTTACTTTTATTTCTCTTTCCTACTGCCTTTGCTGTACTACCTGTATACAGGGAGAGTTGTTAAAAGAATCAAGAATTTGTGTGTGTGTGTGTGTGTTGGGCAATGGGGATTAAGTGACTTATCCAGCGTCACACAGCTAGTAAGTGTTATGTGTCCGAGATGAGATTTGAACTCAAGTCATCATGAATCCAGTGCCAGTGCTCTATCCACTGCGCCACCTAGCTGCCCCAAGAATCAAGAATTTTAAGTGGCCACTACAGTGCAGCACAGTCTCGTGTTTATTTTGGAGGTGAGGGGTGGTGGGAAGGTGCCAAAGAATGAAACAGAAAAAGATCCAGGTGTTTTGAAATCAAGATCATTCTGTTGGTGTAGATTTTTAGAACTAAAAGAGACTTTAGAGATCGTATACCCCTACTCCCTTATTTTACAGGTGAGACAACTGCGGCCTAGAAAGGTGAAATGCCCTAAAATCACAATAGAAACCCATGATGAACTACGGTCAAAATTTCATTGAGTAGCAAGTGCTATCAAATTTGGTAGATTTGTTGGATTTGTTTTGGCTTTCATTAACTACAAAGTTAATTAACATATGCCGACACTTACTCAAATGACTGTTTCCCTCCCCACTATCAACCCTCAAAATCAGTTCCAAGAATTATAGTATTTGTTTGATCCAGCCTCCAGATAAGTGAAAACCTGAAGTCCGTATGATCAATATACATGAATGTTTGATCAGAAAGAGAAGCTAAGAGACCAAGGATTGAATTGGGGACATATAGCAACTACTTATGTAGAAAGAGAGGTCTGGGATATTATACTGTGATGCTATCATAAATAGAATCAAGCTACCTTCTGTTGTAAGTGGTGAAAGTCTATTCTGTTTCTGTGGTGCTGTTCATAAAGGGTGGCTTTATGTGTTGGTTTGCTGTTGGGGCATTTTCCTCATTTTTGAAAATTCAAACATTTGCAACGGAAAAGATACCACTCCTGCTGCTATATGGGAAATACATATTGTTGGATTCATACCTGAAACTTTTTTTTTTTTTTACCATCAAATAAATGATTTAGTCTTACCCTACAGTTACTTAGATTTCCCCTTACTCCAGTAGTTTAGTAAGTGCCAAGGGTAGCAGTTTTTCAGGCCCATGTATCAGGCAACTGAGCTTTTCCCCCACCCACTTAATGATAAGTGTCACATCCACCTCCAAGGAGTTCAAAGTATTACTGTATCGATGTGATATTCTTCACAGCACCCTTGAAAGGAAGTAAGGAAAACAGGGATGATTGTTCCATTTTTCAGCTCGATAATTGAGTCTCAGAGAGAAGACTTGGGCCCACAGAAAATTGGTAACAGAGAAACATCCGTTTCCACCAGATCAGGCAGAAATTGAGATCATTATCTGTATTAACAGTGTTTACATTGAAGAGGGAACACATAATTCAAGGAACTGAGAGATTTAGGACTCGGAGCCTCTCATTCCTTATTTTAAAATTTTTGTACACATTTCTAAAGTCAAGTATCTAGTCGGAGGCCACCCTATATGTCCAAGATTAAATAGTCTTTGAAAAGACTTCCCCCCTCCACCCCAGTCTTTGGCCTTCTGGTTATGGAAGGTGAACTTTAGATAATTTTTCATTGTAGTAAGAACAGGTTGGATCTAGAGCAAATTTAGCTTAAACTATGTAGCAAGTTTTTCCTACTATAATTTATTGTTTATCAGCAACTATTTAGAATCCCAGTAGAGATCCTTTTTCTAACAGTTGTGGCCCATACAGAGTACATACATATTCTTGTCTCTTTTGATTAAGAAATGCATGATTAAGAAGAGTCAGATCTGTATTTAAAAACTCTTATTACCAGTGAGCCTTGAAAAACATAAATGGTTTTTTTTCCCTTCAAAATAATCCAGTGAACTAACAACTATGTCATAATACGAACTGGTACAAGCAAACAGAGTTATTGTGTTAACAAGAGAAGAGTCTGACCTTTTCAGTGTTTGTCATAGTACCACTGTAAAGTGTTTTAAGGGTAAATAGTGATTGGCAGCCACACCTGGCTTAACTGCCATCACATGGAAGGGAGTAAAATTAGTTAACATGGAATTGTAATTTCAGGGATTATGAAAAGATGAACTTAATTAGGTGGATATTGATAATTTCGTTATTAACAGTTTACCCTTACAGTATTCCTGGTAGTTACTTAAAATTTTTTCAAGCTTATCTTTAATCTAATTAACACTTACAGCTTAATTTTATTCTATACTGCTTTTATACTGATACTGTTTTTGTTATCAGTGCCTAGTAGTGCTGTTATTCAAGTTTCAGAGGACATTTTACGGGCAAGATATAAAATGTTTATGTCTTCTTGTTTACCCTTGAGAAGTCTAAAGGATTGATAGTTGGCTAATTTTTTTCTCCCTGAATGATTTAATTTCAGGAAAAGGAGAAGGAATGGGAACGAAGAAGACAGTCATCTCCCCCAGACCAAACGAAGTAGCAGAAACCCTGTCTTTCAAGACTCCTGGGATACAGAGGTAATAACTGGATTAAATTTAAGGCCCCTAGTTTTTAGAAGTTACCTGAACTAAATATCCACATCGTAAAGGGCAGCCAAAAGAAATATGACAATTATTCAGAGAAATAAACTAGAGTTTCACTTTAAAATATTTGAAGTACTTCTGAGGGTTTTAAGTATCTCAAAAACCAATTTGCTTTCTACCTTTCTTTGTTGGCACATAGTAGGCACTTAAATACTAGTTTACTAATGACATATAAACGTTTAATGATTGTTTAGTATAGGACCAGATCTACTGGTGCTTCTGGGGAATTTTTCTAATTAAAAGTTTTTTTGAAAACTTAGCTGTTTTCAGAACAGCTTTAAGAGTAATAAAGAAAATCCTTCAAAATATGAAGATTCAACACATACTAGAAAAGCTTTGAATCAGTAATCTGCTGGACACATATCTAAGCCAAGCTTACTGAAAGTGGTGCTTTGTGTGTGTATATAATGATCCAGATTTCTGTGAAAAAGACTGGTCTGTTTTGAGAAATGGAAGTTTCCATTACTGTTATAATGAAAGAGAAGGGTTTGAATTTTTTATATTACAGGTAAAATCGTACGAACACAAACACAACAGCAAAAAAAAAATCTCCACATAAAGGTTTTCTAAGCCCCAGTCCATTTATTTAAAATGTATTCTGTTCAACATATTTCTAGCACAACAGTTATTGTTTTGCTCATTGTAATTGAATTTGATTTGTACATGTAAAGACTTCCTTGCTACTCAGTCCAAAAAGTAATAGATGCACTTAGAAACACTATCTAGGAACTGAGTTCCTAGAGTCTTTTAGAATTCTTGGCCTTTTTGTCCACCACCCTTCCTACTGTACCCATTCCTATTCCCTTGGTCCCCAGGACCTTACATATATCACTTTGGATAATACTAATGCTCTTATGCCGTAGTTTATATTTTCATATCCTGTGTATGTGTCATATTCCCCTTAAAGGCTTATCTAAACTTGCTGTCTCCCCTAGTGCTTAGAGTACTCACTGCTCTGCACATTTGAACTGATACTTAATACACCTGAATTTATTCATCAGAAAAGTGCCCGAGTAAATTGGATGAAATTAGAGTGATGTGATTTTTTTAGTGAAGGGGAGAAGACCAGTTACTAGGGATTAAGCCAAACTAGTAAAGATCACTTGTATTAAAAACTGGAGTAACAATAATTCAAATTCCATTCTGAAGTTCCTTTTCAATTAGGTAGGGAAACATTTGTTGGAAGTGATTTGACTGGGTTATCAGCAGGGCTTTTCTGTTTTTCAACATCATTATCAATTTTGCTTCCTCTACATGAGATGTGTTTACAGTGTATCAAAGATATAGTTTGTAGGTCTGATTGGGGACCTAATTTTTTAGAAGTTATGTTTATCATTTGTTACCTATTACATTTACTTCATTCCTTTTTTTTCCCCTTTTTGATGAGGCAGTTGGGGTTAAATGACTTGCCCAGGGTCACACACAGCTAGTAAGTGTCATGTGTCTGAGGTCAGATTTGAACTCAGGTCCTCCTGACTCCAAGGCCAGAGGTCTATCCACTGTGCCACATAGCTGCCCCTACTTCATTCTTTATTTTGGAGCTGAGCGTCAAGAGAGGTAGAACTGAACAAGAGCTGCCTTAGAGGTCAACTCTTTGATTTTTGTTTTTGTAGAATGTAAACATTTCATCACTGTGTATAATTGATATCAGGGAAGCAAAGGAGAAATTTGTTGTCCACTTTTTGGCTCACATATATAATACCCAGACACTTGATTCTCTTGTAATTGTCCTTGTCCCTATCTGTCTTGAGCCTAGACCAGGGTTTCTTCTAACATTGCTCAAGGCCAGTACAAAAATGTTCCTGGTGTGATCCATTTTTAAAACAGGACAAAGAGTGAATAGATGAAATCAATAGGTAATCCAAAAATTACGGAATGTATCTATTAGATTCCCCATCCTTCCCCAAACTTTTATAAGAGATCCTAAGCTGGGCCAAATTAACCCAGCTGCTTCTCAGATAAAAATATATTGGCCCCCAGAAAGGAACTAGAGGAGAAGAAATTGGAGAGCGGTGATCCTCCCATTATCATGGGAGAATTGAGCACCAACTAATTGAGTTGCTTCTATTGCAATTCATCTTTGTATTGATAGCATTCGAAGAAGTGATTAAGTCAGAGATGGGGAACCTGTGACCTTCAGGCCACATGTGGCCCTTTAGGTCCTCAAGCAGGGACTTGTTCTGCACAACTTGGACTGCACCCAAGGACCTAGAAGGCCACATGTGGCCTCGAGGCCAAGGGTTCCCCACCCCTGAAGTTAACACTTTGAGAGGAGGTATTTAAAGGGAAAAAAAATATTGTGCCTTTTTTCTATTTAGGTTGCTTTCACCTCATTTTCCACTTTTAGTCAGTTACGCTTTTGGTCATAAGTCAAGAGGCACAATTTTCCTATTACAATAACTTATCAGTTCCCATCATTGCCCTCCCTTGTATAGAGAAGTATAGTTAAGCAAAACAAACACATTGGTCTTGGATAACAATGTTTGCTGAGAGGAGGGTGGTATGTGTTTAACTGTAAGGCCTCTGAAGTCCAGATTGGTCATTGAACCGATCTGAATTCTGGTATTTTTCTGCTTATGTCATATTATTTAGTTAATTCTGATCTTAAGAAGTTTCTCTGAATTCTTCCTATTTACTGTTACATTTATATACCATGATTTGTTCAGGCGCTCCCCCAATTGATAGGCACCCATTTAGATTCCTGTTTTTTTGCTTCCATAAAAGTGCTGCTAAGAAACATGTTCGTACACATGGGACTTTTCCTTTTTGTCTTTTACCTCCTTGAGGTATAGGCCCAAGTGTTGGTATTTACTGCCTCATCTTTTTAAAGTGGCTAAAATGCTTTTTTTTAAAAAGCACTTTAACCTTTTAGCCTGAAGATTTATTTTTGACTGATGTGTTTGCGTAGTAGAAAGTTTAAAGATTATTATTTATCGCAGTTATTTGTCTTTAAGATGTTTTAATAATTTAGTTAATAGATGTGAATTTTAAAAAATTATTATTGGTTTAACCTCTTTGTTTCAGTATTTGGAATAGTTTCTCCATTTGCAAAAATGGTCATACTGTGTGCTTCTCAGGCTGGAAGAGTCAGTTTGTGAACTGCTTCCCTGGATTAAATGTTATGTCTGGAGAAACTTTAGCACCAACAATCCTTTTGTGTATTTTTTCTCCTGCCCCTTCTCTCTCCCCACCCCTTTCCTCCTTTCAGCAATATTCAGTATTTTCCTAGTATCCCTTATGCTCTGAAGTCTTAGGAGAGTCAAACTGGTTTGAATTGAGCAGTCCTATTAGCTTAAAGAGTGCTTTTATAGGGGGTAAATTGAGTCTTTTCGACCTGTAGTAGTGAAATTGCCTGTTATGCTTTGTTCCCAGGGACAGGGAGCAATCTATCCACATAATTGCTGCCCTAACTTTCTTTAAAGTATCTTTGAGTATGGTATGCCCTTGGCTGGCTAGGTACTAGCCTCAGTTTCTCACTGGAAAAACAGGAAGAAACTGAGGCCAAAGCTGCCTTGGGAGAACTCAGGAGTACTTTACCTTATAGCAGTTTTTTCCAAACCACTTGGCCATGCAAAGCTTTTGTACCTGAAATATATTGACAGACAGTTGTTTTTGTGTAACTTTGTCTTTCTTACAAACAAGCATTTGATTCTTGAGGACTGGTTGCACAGCTGTATATAATATGTCCAAAAATAACTCACATAAGAACAAAAGATAATTGATAAGACATATTTTAACAAGACATAAATTGATAGAACCTACAAGTGTTGATCCAAGAAATCTGGGATATGGAATATCCTCCTGGGACAAAGCAGAGTCAGGGAAATTGAGGGTGGAGGAAATTTAGGTCTATTTTCCTCAAGAAATTTGAGAGAGATATATATATATATACATACATACATACATAATTTAGAAGAAAAAATAATAGCTTCATAATTCTAATTTGAACCCCTACATAAATTATATTGTGAAGAACATCGTTTGGAAAACACTGCTTTTTAGTTTGTGCATTAGGTCCTGATGTTACTTCGAATAGCTTATTTATGGTTTTAAAAATATAAATGTTATTCAGTCTTGACTAGATTATATTTGTGCTAAACTTACACTTAATATAAGCTAAATTAGGCATAATATTAATTTTTAGCTTTCCTTTACTTTGACAAGGGCTGCTATCTATAGTATATATTATTTTAGAAAAATTAGAAATTTCCTTCTGGAATTACATATGATCGTATGGAAATTACATACAATCGTGTGATCGTAGGGAAAGAAGTTACTTGTTTTCTCTAGTGGATAACCATCCTGTTTCTTAAATAGTATATTCGGTCTGGAAAACATAGTAGGTGCTATATAATGTTATATAAATCCATGCACAACATGAATTTTTTTTTTATCCCCCACTGGTGACACAGTGCTTTCTTTTATAGCCAGATAGTAATAACTGACATTGATATAGTACTTTAAAGTTTCCCAAACACTTGATATTATTTCATTTGAATCTTACAATCCTGTGAGGTATGATAGGTGTTAGGATCCCGTCTAACTTGTATTTTACAAATGAGGAAACCAAGGCTTATGGGAGTGAATTGTCCATGGTTATTTAGCTAATAAATACTGGAGGTGAGATGTGAACATAAATCTTTTTGACTTCAATTCCACCACTCCGTGTACCTCACACACTGCTCTTGGGTAGAAATCAGCTTATGTGATGATGAGTCTCACTTTTTTGAGAGCTTTAATGAGGAATTCTGGCATCTAAGATGTAGATAAAGGCCATGTGAGTTGAGGAAATGAGACAGGAATTGGGTAGAGAAGTCTATTAATCAAATAAGAGAAGGAGGAATCAAAAATTGAAGAGGAGGAGGAACGTCCAGAGAATGACAACAAGGATCTCAAGACAGCCTGGAGTGAACTGTAAAAGAAAATAGATTATT